AATTCGAGAGTTTTGATTGGCTTAGCTATCATGGGTTATGAGCCATTATACCATGCTCTACAAATATGGTAAGCCGCGTACGCGTGATTTTTTAGGGCGTTTTTAATTAATTTTAGTTTAGTTTTCTATATTTTGAGGGCGTTTTTAATAAAACAATTATTCTACTCGCGCTTGTTGGATATGAGAAGATTATAGCCAGCTAGGCGCTAAGCACCTCGCTGGCTATCTATCATCTCATATCCAAAGCGCCCTCGTGGATTAATGGTTAATTGACTATATAGTTAACAATGTTAACTCTCTGAAAGAGTTAATGCGATATAGAATTTATTCTTAGAATTTTACATCCGCGGTGTTTGCAAACAAAACTTCTGAGGGCTGTAGGTCGTATTATAAAATCGTAAACTTTTCCTACCCGAGCGCAAGGGCCGCGCAGGGGAATAATGTCCCAGGGTCATGGCAGTAAAGACCTCGCCGTGCTCGGTCCGTACAAAAACGCCCGAGGGCCAATATTCCCCTGTAAGGCTCTAGCGAGCAAGGTTAGTAAATAGTTCAATATATGTCCACCAGGAGCCCATTATGGGCTCCTGATGTCGACCTATATGGCACTCGACAACAAAAACAAAAACATGGCTTATGACCGTTTCCATGTGAGACGGTCCGTATGGCAAAATCCTGACCAAGAAAAAACCAATCTTACTTCAGGACTATTGCTTATTGTCGGCCAACAGAAATTGGATTTTCGTTTCAACTAACTTGTATTCATCACAGCTCCACACTTATCCCTTTGAGGATTGCTGCCTTATGAGAAAACAAAAAGACAAAAAAAAACCCACAAAATTACTAAAATAGGTTGTTAAAAGAAGTTTGGGTTACACCAAAGACGAACTCTCTCCGTCTTTAGTGGAGTGTGGGGGAACCCTAACTCATGGCGATTGACGGATCAGTCAACGCAATGTGACCAATGATAAACAATAACTATGGAACCCAGGGTTGCTTGTTTTACTGACAAATAAATAATAAATCAAATTTAATCTGTTGCTGAACACAGGTGTATAATTTCATGTACCTTGATTACGACCTTGAGAAAAGAGCCTGTAGATCGTTTTGACCCCTATGAACATGTGACAAATGGAAGCCATATCCTAATCCTATTAACTTGAAATTTGTTGCATGATCTCACGAAAGTCGTGTTGAACGGAAGGATTAGCAGGAATTTTGCGAATCAGATGAAGGCTTGCAGAGATCTTTTCCTAATCTTAGTTGACAAATGTACATCCATACCAAGGAGTTGTATAAGGAGTTTGAAAATGAAACAATATGACAAATAAATGTTGTCATTTCACCCATTTTGTAGTCAAATGTGGTGTTTAGTCAAGTCAAACAGATACATACGCATCAACGTGAAGATTGCTTGAGAACGCTGAGGAATTTTGCCAAGATTTGATTAATTGATTGTTATGTGTTTAGCAAGTTGTCTTCAAAGAGGATTCATAAAGCTGTTACATGACTCAAAGATGAATGTACAATTTCCTAATCCTATTTTTGAAAGTTCGTGCCTCTTTGAACCGCAAGTATAATCAAAAAACCAAGGAAAATATTTACAGGAAGCCTCAGCCCTTATAATTGACAGTAATTAATTTTCGTTAGCTGTCACTGTCAATATGATGGCTACATTTCAGTTGAACAAGAAAGCAATTAGCGACGACAAAATGCTAAAACATGTTCGCTGTCGGTAAGCTTAACTGGCTTGATCTAGTTACAGCAAAAATTATTTTCTTTCCCAACTAGAAATAGCATTTTTAAGTTTAGAAGAATTGCGAAAGCTCGACTACTCAAGTGAAGAGCGAGAGATCAGATTGCACCCTTATTGATGGAAAACGAAAGGTTGCACAAGGTCTTTGGGAAAGAGCTAAATTATAATGACCTATCCTTTCCGAAATGGCCCATGACTCAACCTTTTATCATCATCTTTAAGGCCAAGCGGACCACAAAGGTCTTCCACGAGCGATCCCAGCCGGCGCCGGCAATAATATATCCAGGGTAATTGGGTAATATGTGTAAAACAGGCCGTACATGTTCATCCCAGGACGTACATCATCTTTTCCAGCCCTGCGCGGTCTCCAGCTGCCAACCTACTCACTCAACGAAAGAAAACAAGTGAATTTTCTTCGGCACTTTTCAGAAAAAAGAACATAGCCACTCAGCACCTTTAGGTGGGGCAACAATTATAAAAATTATCTTACCATCCATCAATGACACCTCCGTGCTCGTACAAGTTACTTGAACCAACTTCTCTCCAAATAGGCTCAATAAACAAACAGATGAAACTGTTATATGACCTTCAGAAAGTTGCTTTTCCTGGAAAAAAAAGGTAAATGGGAAACTTACCCGGATAAAATGGGCTACGTGAATAACTCTTAAAGATTTAGAGATTTATAAGCTGCTAAAAGGAAACTGACAGCTGTTGTGATTTCATAGGAATCAGGACACTGTACTTGAATATGCGCCAAATTTTGGCATCATGGCGGAAACCAAAATAGTTTACAAACTTTGTGTCAAGGACTATAAATATCGCAAATGAGCCGGGTAATACAAAAGCAAAGGCACATCACTCCACAGAGTTGACATACATAACACATTAACAAAAATGAAAAAAGGTTCCACTTTGGCCGTGTTCCTCGTCTTTCACGATGCAAAGAAGAGATCGCATCAGTCGTGGGATGCAATAAAGAATGGTGCGAAGATTATTATGAGACACTTGTGATTGTAAGTGAGTATAACGCGAGATGAACGGACTTCGAGGTCGATTATATCTACTTCCTGATAAACAACAGGACCCTCCCAGTTTCGGAAGATAAAAGAATTCCAGACCGTTGAAATTGACGGCACATTTCAGTGTAGTCTCATTTGCGGTTCCTGATCCTTCCTCCAGGGTTCCTTTTCTTAATTTGGTAGTCAGCTGGCATGGAAACGAAATATTCACCATTTAACATTACGAATATCCTACGGCACGATAGTTGCGCTTCTAATCAAGGTCACTTCAGGAGTGTCAATATACACGAACCCGTACCATTTACACCAGCACCAATGTCGTTGGCCGAGCGCTTAGCAGGTTTGTCGTCTTCCCCTTTTTTATGTTTCCTCAGAGTTTTTTCCGCGTCAATGTTATTGTTTGCTTGCAAGCTTTAAGCTTCATTTCTGAAGGCGACAGGGTCACTTTTTATTGACCTGTGCCTTGTTAAAAGAGAAATGCGCAAACGCGACGACAATGATGGGTTTGTTGTCATTTAGACGCGGGCAAGAGAACGCCCAGCGACATTTTTGTCTTCTCGGGTGTCTTGATCGTAAACTGGTGATGTTTTAGCTATAGTGATACTGGCCTAATCCTTCCTTTTTGAGAAATTTGCGTTTTGATCTACAAGCTACGTCTTTGCAAAGCTTTGGTAACTAGTAATTTGCGAAATAGAGGAATCACTGTCAATTCTCTTAGACGTTTACAGCGCCATATCCGCCATGTGGCTTTATTCAATACGAGGGCTACGACACATGAATTCCGACGCACTATAGAGCTTTTTAACGGTAAGTTCTCTCTTTTAGAAAAAGGCTGGTCTTTAAGTTTGCATCAGTTTTCGTGCAGCACAAGTATCCGCTCCGACAACATAGACGCCATGTTTGCGTAACTTTCGTCTTCATTTGTGGAACTCGAGTCTTGCATGAACCACTTCGGGCACATGATGTTTCTTTGTGACGGTCTAGAGCTCAAAACAGACAAAAGAACAAGTATCATAACTGCTCGAGAGCATGAACAGTGCAAATTTCAGTGTTTGCAGCTAATAAACACTTTTTGCGGTATGATAATTGTTAGTTTAGAACCTCATAATCGACTGATAAGTGTTACTACTCTAAATTAGTTTCCAGCAGTGTAAGTTCCCTAAAGATTAGACTCATAATTCGCTAGCTTTACTTCTCTGACAACACTGGCTAAAGGCTCAAAGAAGTAGAGTTATTTTTTTGTAACATTAAGGGAGCACAACTTACAAATTTTTCGACATCCTGTTCGACGCAGTCAACGCGGTTATCAGTAGAGGAAACCTGTCCTATATCTTCGACAGTGAATAGAATTGAACAAGTCTTTACTTTTTCGCTGCTTCTTATACCATACGCAAAACTTCACTCTTTTTCTTGACTCTTGTACGATTGAACATGTTTAAATTCGTCCGAGGTGCCTAAGGAACTTCTTACACTGTGCGTTACGGAAATGTGTCAGAGGCAAACTGTCGTGCTTTTGCTCATCATTTTCATTCAGTTGTTTCTTTCTTGAGTGTAGTCAATGTGATACGAATATGCAACATGAAATATCGTACGGTACACGTACTATATAATAAACAAATGTTCACGTTGTTTTGTTCACAAGATAATAAGTGTTATGTGCCTCTGGCCTTGAAGAAAAGGGTATATAGTTCGAGCATCAGACGTTTGTTTACAACGAGCGACTCGATAGTAAATTTACTCAAGGCAAATTATGTTTGGTATTCTTAATGTAAAATTATATTTTTTCGGTAAATTACTGTCTCCGTGCTACTGATCATTTGCTTTGGAGAGGGCCAAAATGATTACCGTGATAAAATGCAAATATACCGACGCTGCCTTTCACTCGACGAAATTAAACTTGGCAGGCAAGACACTGTTTTAATACCATGTATCTTTCAGTAGAGCAAAGGTCTCTTAAACGTACTAATTTATAACTCAACTTGTAGAACATTTTGTAGATTCAACTTCATTTCGGTGTAAAAAGAATATACAGTACATTGGAAATTTACCACTTTGTTGTACAAATGTAAAACTTTAAGGTAAAAAGCTGTTAAAATTATGAGTCTAAACGTTTTCGGTCTGTTTGATCATCATCAGAGTCACTCTGATGATGATCAAACAGATCGAAAACGTTTAGACTCGTAATTTTAACAGCTTTCTACCTTAAAGTTTTATATTTTACTTTTATCGGCGAAATGTATATTTGTTGTACTTGTCGGAAGTGTTATAGTTTTACAACTTTTTCAAGATTTGTGTGTATTAAAATTTCCGTTTCTTAAATTCAACAATTACAATGTAGTGTGAGTAGCACACTCGTTGGTACTATTCATGAGTCAAACAAATTCATATCGTTTTTCCTTGTAGTAAGAAACTGTAACACGCAGGGTCGACATGAATTTATTTTGTTTCGCTGGCGTACAAATTAAGAGTTACTCCACGTCCGCAGGCTATGCGGGCAAGTATATTTGCAAGTGCTCTCCGCTTAAATAAGGGGGAAAAAACGCTCTTCTCGTCCATTAGGGCGCAAGGTGTTAAGCTGCAAATTTGTGTGTGTGTTTTTCATGAGTGTTTTGCTCCCCATTTACGACTTAACAACTTGGCATTCCACAAGAGCTGTCTTCCGAGGCTCCAAAAGTCGTGAAGAGTTAATCTGCGATGACATGTACAGGCGCCTTGTTTACTCGCCACAGTATTTTGGGTGGTCGTTTGATTTTGTTAGCCTTATTCCACAAGAAATTAGTTCTTCCTATCACTGATAAAAGGAGAGCATTGCTAAATTCCCCGAGTAAACGAGAGGTTTCTGGGATCCGGTATTGAATTGTGAAAGGGCGGCAACGTCATGTTAATTAGGGCAGCATCTGTTAATACTAATTCGAATTACTTCATCGCAAAACGATTTCTACTTTACGGGTCACAATGTTAATCTTCATATATTTCTTTTTGGTCTGACCTTTTCACTAAGTATTACTATACGGAAGAGTAAATTGAAACAACAACTGCGTGAAGTCTTTAGCCCCGCTTTAGTTGTCTCCAAGCGACATCTGTCTAACAGTACTGTGCGTAAGAGAGGGAGAAAATGTATATCTTCTCAAGGGGTATAAAGTTCATAATTATACTGAGAACGCTTTTGCCCACCGAATAGCAAGGCTTACATACTTTGCCTTCATCGCCTTGTTTGCAAATTTATTCTATTTCCACTACTGCTTTTTGTACCCAGAAGAAATCATAAATCAACAGTAATTTAATCGTTAACAATGGCCAAGCTATTAGAATGGCTCACAGGTATGGTTTTCAATGCAGTGCATTTACTTTAATTGGATCCAGCACACTGGGCTAACACGAACGGATTTTTTAGGGCAAATGTAGTTACAAAACCTCTAAAGGATCGCAACTTCAGCAAAGCTAGCCGATACAAAATTGTTCCAAAAGCGATTTATACCTTTCAAAAAGTGTCTGCTTGCATGTTTTCTTGCTTGGGTCATCCCTGTAAAATTCCACTGACAGTCGGCATATGGGCGGTAAGTCAATAATATGACCCCCTGACTGCAAACAGCGTACATGTAGGATGTAGACCCTCAGGCGAAAACACGTAGATAACTTTAAACAGCAGACTCTCACTCGATGGTTATTCGTGGTCTCAGAGAGGTGACATTCAGTGAAGGTAACCTTGGATAGAACCTCCCAGATAGACAAGGGGAATCAATCCACTGATCATCATCACTCAACTAACTTCAGTAGTTGGACTCTTAAGTTACATTCTTTTATGAAAACGTCCTATGGAAGTTAGTACGTGGCGAGGTACTTGCACGGAAGTCGCTATTCCTTGGGTAAAGGGAAAAGAACTATGCCACATCCATTCAAATGGTAATTCTGCATTGTTTTATAGTGAAAAGGTGAACACATCTTTACAAATGGAAATTCTTTTTTCGTCATACATTTGTGACACAAGAAGGTGAACAACATAAATCAATGCTTCGCTTTCATGTCTCGCCGTTGACGTTACCTATGAGGTGCTCTTGTGGAAAATTTTGTTTTTATAGTTTTTTGTACAATAAACTATTGGCAGCAGCGGCAAACAGGTACGGAACGGTAAAACACATACTCTCTTAGATCTCGAGATATTCAGTTAATTTAATCAAAAATCTACACGGCAAGAAAGGCCTGGCAATGGACTTAAACAACTCGGTGCGCTCTCGATGTCGAGTATGATTTGTAGACCGTGCAGAAATGTACTTTTTCTTCTTTACAAACTCAATTAGATTTCCACTTTTTTTTCTCTCAGCTGAAACTCTTTTTTATCATTTTGTTAACCTTGCAAGGATGAAGGTCGTTCTTCTGTTACTGACTCTTGGGAGTTCTGTACGTTGAAACACGAGTTACAAAAATGAAAACAGGTTGAAAAAGCATTGTTCAGTTTTGCAAAGTCACTGAATACATTTCACAAAACGATTCGTGCTAAAGTTACATGTAGGAAGAAAGGACAGGAAGCGCAATACTTTGTGACTACCATAAACATAGGCGGGGTACTAATTCCATCAAATCCTACATGAAAAACAATTTGTCAGAAAAACGACAGTTGCCTGTCGGCGATGCGATTAGGTTAACAAATAAGGCGCCGAGTAAAATTCGACGTATTTACGTGCCCTAATAGTGTGCCTACAGTTGTAAAATGATTAATTACATTGGAGAGAAGCCTTCTTAGCGGAAATGGCACCAATTACTGGGCCATAGCCAAGTGCTTCAAAAACGAATCATGAGGTCGCGTATCACTTCAGGTCCACTGATATCAGACAGGCGAGATCAGTGGGAAGACAGAAAACCGCTTGATTTTTACATGTCTCTGTGATATAACAGGTCTTGTAAAGTCTGTGTTAATGGCTTGGACCCACATATTACGATAGGCTCCTTGAGAACCTTCGACATACGTAAGTAAGATGCACTAGTTGCGTATTATTAGAGCCATACAGGTAGACTACTGTAAACTACTCTGTGTTGGACAAGATCTTCATAACGTTGTTGCCTCAGAAAATACTTGTCAATAAAAACAGTGAGAAAAGTGAAAGTAAAGATCATTCTTAAAAGCTTTCCGACCCATATTCTCCATTGTCTATAGTCAAGTATGATAAACAATTCTTTTAAGAGCGAGGCGAGATAAAGACGATACCTGTTTTTACTGTCTTTTCGGTAAAAAAAAAAGTTATATTAAGCCGCCAAAAAAGCTACCGCCAAAAGGTACCGTACTACTTCCAAAATATTGCATAGGCTAGGATTCAACAGAAAGAGTGGCTGTCGTTGGATTTTAAATGACAACTTCATTTTCTGACCATACAAGTTGATTTCACTGAATGCTTCCCTGACGATGTTGGAATAGCCAGTCTTTATATTGCTATGAGTTGTATACCACATTTGAAAAGTACAATCACCCACAACAAGAGATGCCAAGAGTTGATGCTTACTGTGTTGTAACGTAACTCTGACTTCTTGAAGATTTTGTGCATAAGTTTTTAATAGTGGTTATTTAAGAGAATTCCAGAGGTATGTTTTCCCGTGTTCTTCTTCTTTTCCCAAGTTGATAGTTAACAAGCATTTGTCACTTTTATGCCGTGGCAATGTTTAGCCGAGGTAAATGCAATCGGCTGAGCTATGTAAGAGTAGGCAAACCCCGCAGCAAAAATGCCCAGCGACCAAAGTAATGCGGTGAAATGAAACAAAAATAAGTAGAAACAACAAACAACTTATGAATAACCTTGGGAATAACCTTGGGGGTCATTTGTTAAGAGCACTATAATGTAACTGTAATGTAAACTAGATAACTGCAGAAATTCTCGCGCGCTCATTGGCTAATTTTTTATTGTCAATAAGCGGACAGACACATGAATTTACAATTTAAAATGCGATGCGTCAGCGAGCGAGAGCGGGAGAGAGCTATCGCCTCGTGGATCCACAGTTACTTTGACAATGTTATGACGAAATTCATGATCAATAAAAGGGCAGACGCATGAAAAACTGATGTCAATTTGCTAATTAACACAGATGTGATTCTGGAAAGTCAAGAGGAGAAAGGAAGACGCAAGCCAAGGCGCATGCGCACATGTTTCACGCCTCGACAACTTCAAGTATTGGAGCAAACATTTGCCAAGACGCATTATCCAGATGTACTATTGAGGGAACAGTTGGCTAACTTTACCAATCTGCCAGAATCAAGAATACAGGTATCCGAGACGCTAATAATCAGACAGAAGTAAAATAACAAAGTAGACTCTGGAAAAAAAAAATCTGTATTACAACTGTTTATAGTGTCTTAAACAACACCAGGGACTGAGAAATACTGCAAACATAGGCGTAATCATTAGCCTGTGGGGAGCAGGAGAAAAGAGCTACCTCGAGAAATCGTGCTTAATTGATAACAAAAACAACAGCAGTTTATTTATACCAAACTAAAAAAGAACTATTTTAACAAAATTATGATCTAATTACTAAAGATTGGTAACTGGGCTCCACTGCCTTCAGGTCGGGTGTCTATTGTAAATTACAATTGGGCAATATATTCCATCACGTAAATGAAATTAACACAGAAATTCAAAATTAACAAAAAGAGCTATAAATGGGCTTCAACAATGTCCTTGGAAACTGACTAATCTTGTGAACAAGTGTTTACAGATGAGGTGCATTTCAGACTTCTAATAATTTTGTGACATTTACAAAACCTTAGGTTTAGCATTCGTTGTAACATAAAAGGCCGATCATAAGTATACGTAGGCTTTCTTGCGGCTCTCTAATCCTGTTACAAATCTTGTGGCTTTCTTAAGGTATGGTTCAAGAACCGCAGGGCAAAGTATCGAAAATACGAAAAGTCTGGAGTAGAGATGGTTTCAAAAACAAGCCTTCCCTCATTCCTCAGACCCGACAGCTCAGGAAGGATGACGTGTGGAAGCTCACCGCTCCCTAATCGCTCCTTCTTTCAAACTCCAAGAAGTCCAGTTTTGTCACCGGTTCCAAGAAATCCAAACATGGACCGACTACGCGATCACACACACCACCTTCCAAGCGTGTCTACTCTCCTTCCGCCGGTTCGTGAAATCCTTCCTCATAACATGATACCCACAACTTTTCACTCATTACCTTGCACACCTGAATCGCATCGACAACCATTTCCGACGTACACCCTCAGGCACTTCACGGACGTGCCTCCCTTTGGTTACAATTAAAACAAACTGAAAAAGGATACGAATGGTATCCATATGACTTAGCGGTGTTTAGTATTTAACTAAGGGGGTTAGGTCGCACTACCTATGGTGAGTCTGTCTGTTCGATTCCAGTTTATTTACTCTAACCACAATTTCAGAGATAATAAATACAAAAGAAACCTTGATTTATGGCTACATTCAAAAGTTAATTTAAACTAGTCTTGAAATCTACTTTTACCTGAAACAATTAGAAAAAGACACAAAAAACAATCATTAACAAGCCAAAAAAAGATACGGGTGGTCAAAAGGGGACAAGGTTGAATTTATTGAACTTGGCAAAATGTCCCAATATCTAACTGCCTGTTACAAACATTTTTATAGAATCATACGGCCTCTGTTGCTCGGAAATAATCCTTGTTCACACGTAGCTAAGATCTAATGAGCATTTCGGGGTCATTTTCTGCAGCTCTTTATAAATCGAAAGAAGCGTCAAGACTAGCCTGGTCAAGAAATGTGGTTTTAAAATATGCCATAAATCTACTGCTGTTATTGAAACTATTCATTATTTGCTATCAGCGCGCCATCTGGTTAATTTATTTATGGAGCCGAGGGGCTCATTTTTCTGTTTAAAACCAACAACCATTGTTTAGAAACAAAAGAGCCCAGTGTAGCAATTACAGCCGCGCCCATTGTAGCTCAGCTTAGCTCTAGAGCGGAAAAAAAAAACATTAGTGTGGGTTTATAATCATACTGACACTGCGCACGAAGTACAATTCAACCCCTTCAGTCGATTGATTCATAACGATATTTCAAGGAAAGCATGTTTCCCCGGCTTATGGCAACAAGAAAAGACCGTTTTAGAACAATTTATTCGGCAAGGTCCCAAAAAATAGTTCTAAATTAAAATTAAATCAGATAATCATCCCAACCATCCACACCATGTTATCAATTCTTGCTCAAGTTTTGCACCCAGAAAATATTACCTTGATCCCTGATGTGAGGGACTGTCTGTGTGGCCCTGAGAAGGTTGCTCAGCTTGCTTGAAAATCGAACCACTTTTAGTGTTTCACAGTTGCTACATAATACGTTACTTCAAGCATAAAGTACGTTTTCAAAGTAAGTTGTGAATAAAAGAGGAACTAGTTGAGAAAGAAAAGAAAAGAAATCATATCAACATTTCAGAATCTATTTTGTCTATTTTGTCTGTTTGTCCCAACATGGATTCTGCTATTTTACGTAAGGGTTCATTTTAAATTTTTGTTGAAACTTTCAGTCAGACTTTCCAGCCACTATTACAGTAGAATTTCTCGACACCCCACCCAACCGCGCTCCTTTCGGCTTGATCATGACCTAGCCCCCTTTAATATACTCAAAATACGCTTAGCCACTTTGTACTTTAATTTTGATCAAGGACTCTGTATATTATTGATATTTTTGGAAAGATAATATTAATCAAATTTTTATTACACCTATATCTCATAATTACTGTGCTACAAGGAAAATTCTCATTATTCAGACGTGCTTTGAACACGCTTATGTTACGTTTTTCGTAGTCTGTATTTACGGTTCATGCGTTGTGTACTTTCAATATACAGTATTTTATAGTTAAATTTATTCAATATATATATAACTATTTATACGATGATCCATTCCATAGATTTCGATTACCGTGTAAAAACAAGAGTTTCAAAACTTGGCTGATTAAAAATACTGTTACCGTTTGAGTCTATTGAGTTATTTAACAATTATTCAATGTGATCCATCGCACTTTGGCAAATTAAGTCATAGCTATTAGTATATTGCGATTAGATTATTTGATTGATGTAAAATACGAATTTTATGCCAACCTTTTAAGCTCTGACCGGGTATAAAGAGATATAACTGTGCCTGTTGTACAGCGTCCTTAAAGACTTCTGATGTTGATCTGCTGTGCTTGGTGTGTTTCACATGGTTTCAGGCATCGATTTATGATCAAAACAAAATATTTGGCGAATAAAATTAAGTGAAGAACAAGTAGTTCTATCGAGTAGTGTAGACCGCACGGCAGAATTCAGTTTAAAATTGTCAAGAAATTTCATAATTACCCAAAACGAAGTTTGTTTCTGGAGAAGCGATTATGCATTTTTCGTAAAACTTGAGAAGCTTGGTCTTAAAACCATCGACATGAAACTCTTCACTTGAGCTTAATAGACCAGGTGACATCCTAGATCAAATGGAAACGAAATAATTTCGGAATTTTTGACAAGTTTAAAGCATCTACCCGCCTGCTAGAAAGAACAATAAAACAAATTTGCATTGTCATTTTTCTTTTACTTTGTCGATGATGTTTTCTCAGAAGCACGCAGACCAGTTCGGCAAAGTTTTATTACCTTCGTTTGTTAGAGTGTTGGTGTCAATAACACACAAACAACAGGTGCTGTGACGATAATTTAATTTATTTATACACACACAAAGAATTGAAACTACCCACGATTTTGTTTTGGTGAAGTTAATTGGAACGGAGGCTGTAAACACTGACTCATGCCCTGAGGCGCCGGTTTGTGCCATAATTTGATTTTACACTTGACTGACAACTGAGGACCAATAACTAATAACAGCCAATGAGAATGTTCCATTGCTGGTCCAATTATGTGAGTATTTGACCGGCTAAAGCATCTACTGACTGTAATGTTTCAATCTTATATATAGTTGTGTAATAAATATCTTATCAACCAAGCTTCCTCGGAAGAGTGCAAGGAGAATAACAGCATTTCGTGTTTCTGTACGAACTCAGTCTCTGCTGTAGTGCTCCTGTGATTGATTAACGAGATATATAACTTCAAGAGGCTGCCAGCTTACAAAAAGTTTCAAGAATAATGTTTTTCAAATAGGATACTTCGTACTTAGATTGAATGATGAGAATTTTCATTTAGATAACTAGGCAAGCTTCAAAGAAGAACGTGTTTTGACCCAGTGGGAGTCTTTTAAGTCAGATACATACAATATTCATTAACCGTAGGAGGGAAGTAAATATTTCGAACAGTGAGTTAGTTATTAAAAGTACTGATTTTACCTAACCTTCTTGATATATAGTTTACTGCTAATAGTTTACTTTGCCAAGTTATGTTTACCATTTAAATTGGCATATTGATAACTGTAAGATATTTCTTTTCTTTTCATTTCGTCAACTTTGTGGATTTATCTTATCATCTCATAAATCAGCCACCTTTTGCTCGTCGAAAACAATCCCTTTGAAGATCTTAATTAATTTTGTTTCTTCCAATAACGATCTGAACAAGAACACATGACGGTCATGGTTCATGATAAACAATTAACTTGCACAATGAAATCATTTTCTGGTTAAGCAATCATGGTCATTCTTCAATGAGGACACGATGCAAACTCGAAGACGAGGTGATGGATTTCTTTCTTGTAAGCCATGGATAAAATCTGCCAATATTCAAGGTAGGTATAAAACAAATTCCAGTTGTAGGCGTTTTATTTCCTAACGATAAACGCCAGTATTCTAGGATAAACAAGTTGATTTTTCTGCTGAAATCAGACTATAATAACTTCCCTTTTGCAGTATCGTGATGAAACGTAAGGGTTCATGTAAAGCATTAGTCTACACACTGTTAACGAAATCGCCAGAAAGAAGTGATGATTTAGTTAAAATCATCGAGTAGTTAGCTTCGGCATGGTGCCAATCATAAGTTTGCAATTTACAATAGACCACTACTTGCGCCGAACCATTGTTCTGCTAAGAAGTTGAAGGTCTCGGCTTGATCCTTACTTACCGTCCACACTCGTCCCTGTTAAGTTATTCGGCTTTGGAGAACAATTTGATAAGAAGTCAACATCGTAAACCGACTTTTGTGAAATGGACGGCGTTTAGCCAGAACAGGATATAAATGAAACTCAATCGAAAACGTAAATAATTAGAAAAGAGAAAGGGTCTTACGGGATGTCCAAATTGACAAACCATTTCTGGTGGTCTGAAAATCAAGCTATTTGACTTAGTGTGAAAATGTGTACTGATAACTTCGCATTAAACTTAACTCATGGGACAAGTGTAATCAATATTTTCGCCCATTTAATTAAATCTGCATATACGTTCCTTAGTCATTGTTTCAAATTGTGAACCTTCACTTGTCCGTCCGTCAGTTCGTTTGTGTGTTCTATCCTAGGGGGAGGAAACCTGGAATTCAATCTATAAGAGGGAACAGAAATAGGGAGGGTTGAGGAGGGGCTGCCTGATTAAAAAAAAGAAAAAAAAAAA